TGCTAGGTCATGGAGAGTGTGTATGTTTTGGTAAGACTTAGTTATTTTATCCTACGGGCAATAAAAAGTTGCTATCTTATTCCAAAAGGCTTAGAAATCCTGCAAATATTTTTTGTGGAAAAATGATACTTAAGAATTTCAGGAACCTTCCAATACTTTAAGGAGCAAAATATTTTTAAAACTTTTATTGAGGCAATAAAGGAAATATCACTGATACAAAAAGAAAAATGGTTTATTTTAATAAAAATCTTTATAACACTTTACTACTTATCATTATTAAATACAGGGCAAGAATTATTGTCATTCAACTTCTTTCTTTACCTTTAATAATTAAACGTTTTTTAATAAACATATACAAAGAAAAAATGGACCATAAAATCTCTAGCCTAAAAACCCTTTCTGAAGTTTCTAAAAGTATCACTTCCTTCAGAGAAATATTTTTAATCTTATAAATAAGCATTAGAAAAAGACATTCATTCTTTTAATTATCAAAACATTTATTGCATGTCTATAAAGTGTTAAAGTACTGTTCTAGGCACTGAGGATATGAGTAAACCAAAACAAAAATTCCTGCTTTTTTAAAGTTTACATTCTAGTGGGAGGAGATAAACAAATAATATACCCCATGTGGATATATACTCCATATTTCTACTATGGAGAAAATTAAGGTCACAAGCATACAGTGGGTGGGATGCTATTTTGGTCAGAAAGTTCAGCAAAGGCTTCATTAGTCAGGTGGTGTTAAGCAAAGTTTTAGAGAAGATAAAGAAACTAGACATGCAAATATCTGAGACTGTTTTTGTGGTAGAGAATAGAAAGGGCAAAGGCCCTAACGCACAGGTGTGGCTGGTATGCTCAAGGAATAACAAGAAGGCCAGAGTTACTGGAGCAAAGTGAAAAAGGGAGCAAGTAGCAGGAAATGAGCTCAGAGAGGTAGTGGAGGCCAGATCAAATAAGGAATTGCCTTTTACTTTGAGTTAGAAATAAGTTACTGGTAAGTTTTGAGCAGAGGAATGAAGTGATCTGACTTACATTTCAAAAGGATCACTGCTTTATGGAGAATAATCTATAGGAGTCAGACGTAGAGGCATGGATAGATACTGTCGCACATCTCCAGGTTTAAATTAAGGTGGAGTTGCCAAAGGATTTGCTGATGGATCTTATGTGGGTTGTGGCAGAGAGAATTTATAAGGATGACTCCAAAGTTTTTATTCTAAGCAACTGTAATGACAGAACTACTATTCTTGGAATGCGCAACACTAAAGGAAGAAAAGTTTGTGGGGGAGAAATTAGTACTTCGATATTGTACACGTTACTTTTGAGTTGCTTATTACACATCAAAGTGAAGATGTCAAATTGGCAGCTGGATGGATGAGTTTAGAATTTAGGGTGGTATCCTTGTGGAAGTACACATTTGTGAAAGAGCCACATATAGACAGTACTTAAAGCCATGAAACACTGGATGAAAAACCACCTAGAGAGTGATTGTAGGTACATAAAATGATTCAGGACTGATCCCTAAAACAATCCAACATTTTGAGTTTGGAGAGATGAGGAGAAACCAGAGAAGGAGACTGAGATGGAGAAGGAGCAAACAGGAGAAAAACCAAGAGTCTGAAGACAGCAATCACGTGTATCATTGCCAAATCCAATGGTCAGTCTCCTCATTTTACTTGGATTTGGGGTGGGAATTAAAGCTTAATTTGAATTGTTCGAGAAAGAATGGAGGCATCATGTTAAGTGAAGTAAGTCAGGCTCAGAAAGACAAATACTGCATGATCTCACTCATACGTGAAATCTAAAAAAAAAAAAAAGTGATTTTCATAGAAGTAGAGAGTAGAATAATGGTTACCAGAGGCCAGGCGGGGAGGGAAAGTGCAGAACTCACGGGCACAAAGCTATGCTATCTACCGTAAGTGAATCAATGTACAGTATATGCATGTGTTGAAACAACACACTGCACCCCACAAATTAAAAGTTTAAATAAAAAAACAAAACAAAACTGTTTTTTACTGGTATGCAACCCAAAACTCAGTTAAGCTCATTTTAAATATGAAATATATTTTAAGATGTTTTCTACTTACATATTTTATATAGGATATGCATATTTCAGAAGGATAAACCTCCATTTAAAAAAAGATTTTTTTTTTGTCCCTTTTGAGACTGGCCGCACTGCGCTCGGCCAGTGAGCACTGTGAGTGCACTGGTCATCCCTATATAGGATCCGAACCCGCGGCAGGAGCGCTGCTGCGCTCCCAGCGCCGCACTCTCCCGAGTGCGCCACAGGCTCGGCCCTAAAAAAAGATATTTTAATAAACATTTTTTAAAGTTCAACTTCACCAGTAATCAAATAGCTGCAAATTAAAGCAACAGGATATCATTTTACATTTATAAAATTGGCCACACTCTTAATACTTAGTTGGAAAGTGTGGTAACAGGCATTCTCACATATTGTTAATGATACAAACCGAATTGTTGTGATCTCTCTGATGGGTAATTTGACAATATATTTCAAAAGCTTTAATAAGATATATGCTATTTATCCCAGAAATTCCACTTATAGGATTTTAACTTAAAGAAATAGTCATGGTTCTGCATAAGATGCAGTTACAAGAACATTAACTGCAACACTATGTAACAGTGAATAACTAAATGCATGCTAAAAGTACAATAATAACTGAGCAAATATATGATGTAGACAATTAAATTCTATTCATTTTAGGAAATTATGATGTAGAAGGATAGTTAATTACATGTAAAAATGTTCATTATATAGTATTAAGGGAAATAAACAGTTACATGTACATTATGATTCCATTTTACTAAAGAAAAAAATGCATCTATGCATAGAAAAGACTGGAAAGCCATCCATCAAAATGCTAAGAGTGCTTCTATCAGCTACTTTTTGAAGGTAAGATAATGAATGACTTTCTTCCCTCTATCTTTCTGTATTTTCTACAATGAATATGAATTACATTCTAAATATATTAAAAGCAGTAATAGGGTGGAATCTAATGGTTTCTAATAATTAGGAACCTAATAGAGTTTTTTTAAAAGGTGTCTAATGCAGGTATACATGGAGGCAATTCAATTTTAAAACTATTGGGATTTTTTTTAATGATAATTAAGATAATTTAAGTCTTTCTAACAAGAAACACTCCATAGTCAGTAATGCTAACTGTTGGCTTATGGCTAGGCTGAATTGGTATCTCCCTTCTCATTTTCGTATCCTTTACACAAGATAGCAGAAATTCTTTAGTATATAAAGAAGAGACTGTACATACAAGGGTACTTCAAAAAAGTCACAAAAAGATTCACGTTATCTTTTAATTCTATTTTTCCATGACCTTTTTATAGTACTCTCATATATATTTGGATTAGTGCACCAAAGAAAGACAAAGTTGTATAAAAAATTCAGACAAAAAGTGGCCAAACGGTTGAGGATACAGGGTCTATATTATTAAATTCATTCTGAGGGTACTAGCTGAGAAGGTGCCATTATTGTACCTTTCATAATTGTAACATTATAATAATTACTTCATCCTCTTATATGTAAGTTGAGAGAAAAATTAATATTTATCATTATATTTAAATTTAAGTCATTTCCTCAGTCACTGAAAATAGCCTTTCCCCCTACATGTTGATGACCAAATTCCTATCTCCAGATGACATCTTGCTCTTTCAGTCTTTAATTCCAGACTTGTATTTTGCCCACTCTGCTACAAACTAATTGTACGACTATGGACAAGTTATTTAGTCTCTCTATATTTCACTTTTCTCATTTGTAAAATAGAAAAAGCAGTGCCTACCTCACTGGCTTTTGAGAATTAAATGAATTAATAGAAGTAAAGCTCTTAGAACAAATGCCTGATATATAATAAACGTTCAGTAAGTATTATTACTATTTTGAACTATTAGTCATTTTCACAAAATGTCTTATAATCCAACATATCACCAAACAATATAATTTTGTGAAGCTCGAAATAGCTTTTTGCTGTATTTCTTTTCTAGCCTTAACATACTAGAATTATCCCTTTTCCCAAGGAAGCCACTTACTCAAGTTAGAAATCTTTGTGTCATAATACTCTATTCCATGTTCTCCCTCACTATCCAAACTATCTTCACACTCCTAGCTCTGAAATACTACTGACTTCTCTTAATAGGATGTTGATTATCTTGGGAATAGAGGTTTTGTTCTTTTTCAGAAGTCCCTGCAGTTCCTGTACTCTTGACATCTGTGTATCCCTGGCACGAAGGAAAATTTCTCTCTTATTTTAGGCACTCGATAAATGCATCTTAAATGTATGTGTACATATATTACATATATACATATTTTACACACACACAGTACCTTATAGCTTTGGCCTGATTATAACATTTTAGAAGTATATAAAGATCATCACTGTAATCAGGAAATAGATTTTTCAAGCAAACCTTAGAAACATCTACAGATTTCATTTAATTAGTTTTTAATGCTGACAAGATTGTGGGAAATCCAGAACTTTTACACAATACCATACTGGTAGTAGGATAAATTGATACAATTCTTTTATAAAGATACACTTTAAGAGTCATTGTTTTTCATTGAATTTACCTGAATAACTGAAAATTTACAATAGAAACAAAAAGAAAATTGATTTATACAAGGATATCCATTATTGTTTTCTTTATAATGGAGATAAAATGGAAAACGACCTAAATAGTGAATCATAGTTTTGAAATCTGAATGCACTATTTCAGAGCTATTAACGTTATTATTACAATGACTATAGCAAGATAAATAAATGCTTTTGTTATTTAAAAACTATATGCTGGGATCACATTATGTAAAGTGTATTTACATAAATATTTAAAATGTAACTGGAGTTTATATTCTTTAATAATTTCTAATACTGAAACAAATGTTTTATAAAAAGTAGTTTTAATCAGATGAACATTACATAGCAAGACATTCAATTATAAATTAAGATTTTAATAACATATTTCAAAATGTCAATTACCTTTGAGTATACATCAAATATGGTGTATAGTCTATTACAGCAGGAAAGTTGCCATCCAATCCCTCTCCCTTTAGGCAGAAGCTAAGACAACAGACAATAAATATTCCATATTAATACATAAAATTTTATTTTATTATTATTGTGTTTGTGTGTCTGTGTGTGTGTGTGTGTGTGTGTGTGTGTGTGTGTGTCTGATACTGGGATCCAAACCCGTGACCTTTGTGTTACAATACAAATATTAAGTCAAAGTTGAGTGTTATAAACAATCTCTTGCTAGAGACATTTCTTTCATCAATTGCAGGTGAATTTTTTGTTTGCAATTTGTTACTTGTTACAAATGAATACCTCAATAAAAATATTCTACCTTCTATACCAATGACAAAGCACTGTACAAGTTAATATACTGTTATATAAATGTATCAAGCAAAAGTAAAATTTACTAAGAAATCTGTTCAAACCTTGTCTCTTTATTTGATACTACCTTGATCTTTATTGAATTTGCAAGAAATCACTAGAGGATTTTCTAATGAAAATTAGTTTTTCAAATTTAAATACAAATTCGCAGATGACACTGAATATCTCCTAAAAACATCTGACTGATTAGAAAACAAGGGTTTTCTAAACTATCTGAACAGGTAAAAAGGCTTGGATCTTAGATCTACAAAGGGTGCTGAAAATCCTCTACTCTCCAGTTGATCCTTTTTGAGGCCACGGGAATAAGGAAAAGATTGCGTGGCCCAGTCCTACTATGAGAGCCAATAAAGAAACTCTAGATGTCCGAGTCCCCCAATCCATTTATCTTTGTTTTTGTATGATGGTACATCCAATAAGGTAACAACAACAGAAAGGTGTTTGGTTTTATGATTACTACTGTTAAAAGAAAAAAGTACATCTTCTAGGAAGGTAAACATAGTAATATCCATAAGATGTAGGTTGATCTTTCAAAGGAAAAAGTTCATCTATGAATTCCCTCCTTCTGGTTCATTTCAGAAGTTTGCCTGCTATTGAGATGCATTTATTTTTTCAGACTTAAATAAGGAGAAAATCCAAGTAGCAACACTCTACATAGACTTCCCTTCATATACATTGCTAATGTATCTTTAAAACATTTGTTTTCAGCTGAATATACAATATCAATAGATTACACTAAACCAACAGTTAACACTCTTACCTCAGGTTTTTTGTTTGTTTTTTAACATGAAAACAACAAACAAGGAAAACCAAGACAGTAAAGGATTTAGACAGAGCCAGAGACATACCATATAAAAAGTTAACATCCTCAAAGGGATCAAAAAGACAACCTTCACATTCCATCTATCATGTCTGTCCTAAACAATTAAGCTAATTAACCTAATACTAGTTATTAAAAATCTTAAATACAAAAAGTTAGACTTACAAAATCCCAAATATTTAGAAAAGGAAGGAATTTACTAGAAAAAGATAACCTCAGTGAAAATGGGCAGCATTATTTTTTTTTAATTAATTAATTAATTATTTTTCCTTTTTTGTCTTTTTTACTGACCGATAACGGGATTGCAACCCTCGGTGTCGCGCCCGTACCGGGGACCGGCAATGGGATCGCAACCCTTGGTGTTGTGCCCACACCACGCTCAGCCAGTGAGCGGGAACCGGTCTCCACATGGGATCCAAACCCTCGGCGGGAGCGCCGCCGCACTCCCAAGCGGTGCACTCTCCAGTGCGCCACCGGGCTGGCCCGGCAGCATTATTTTTTAATTCAAGATGTAAAAGTAGATTTTAATTTAAGTCTTATATAATTTTGTTAATATTCTTGAATTTTTGAATGTCATATTTCAGTAAAAATGTTTCCTTCATTCTTGTCTTTGAATTTTCTTTTAGACAAACCTTTTACTTTTAATACAATGCAAAAAGATGCTTCCATAAATCTAAAAAGAACTTACACTGTCCATGTTTAGCACTTGTTATCTTAGTCTGGAACCAGTTCATTTTGTTGATAACAAAAGCAAATATCAACAACATTATTTGATATTCTAGATGCATAACACAAGAAACATAAGATACCCAAGATATTCTGTCAGGATCTTCTTTATCTCAACACACGAGATAAAGAGAATCTTTCTGGTTTTGACTATTTTTAGTCTATTGCTTTTCATTTTAAAGTAGTAGCTGAAAAATACTAACAGAGAAGATCCAAAACCTTGTGCTACCAGAGTACTCTTGGGGGGATGTAGTCTAAGCTTTCTTTTTACCCAAACTAGACAGCAAGGCTTTCAGTTTCTAAGTTTGAGACAGCCTCTTTTCTGAATGCAAATTCATTTAGAAAACTAACTGATATCATTTGAAAGAAAACTTCACGAATCAAATATCAATAGCCAACTGTGTGCTTTACTTGGGAAACTGAGAAAAAAATCATAAGTAGAAACTATTATGAAGTAGAATAATTTAAAAACTGGATGCATTTGATTATATTAAGTACCTGAAATCAATAGCATTGAGTCCAAGTAGCATGCCAGCAAGCATATTTGCTTCTTCACCCAGGACAATTGCTCCATCTTCATAAAATCTCCTAGAAAACGAAATGGGTGAATATATAAATACTAAAAACAGACTGAAGTATGATCTAGAGAAATCACTTAGGGCCCAAATGAACATAGGAAGAGCTAAATTTTAGTTAATTTATAAAAATAAAATAACATACTTGGATCACTAAAGATAGATAAATCAAAAAAACAAAAACAAAAAACCTGCCACTATAACGAAAACCATTTTAAGTGTTTCCACCTCTCTTAAAAAGAATCCCTAAATCAACTCTTTCAATGGGTCTAGAGTACTCAGCATATTTCCGTAACAGTGAAGCAATATAAATGTAAAGTGAAAGGGGGCAAATTTAGGGTCATTTATACCATTCTATTTTCAAAACTACGTAGACTTGAGTTCTACACATAGAACAAAAAGAATTGCTGTTTTTCTGTAATTCCACAGGTTATTAACTAAATTAAGAACTTGGAAGGTGTGATCATTAGTACAACTGACCCTTGAACAACATGGATTTGAACTGTATGGGTCCACTTATATACAGATTTTTTCCAATAAATATATTGGAAAAATTTTGACTAGGCATTCATGACATACCTAATCAAACAGTTAAGCAGCCTACCTAACAGTAGGCTATCAGTAGTTAAGTTCTGCGGGAGTCAAAAGTCAGGGGGGGTATGGTGTCCCTAACCCCCACATTGTTCAAGTGTCAACTGTAATTTATGCTAACCTCAATAATGCCATAGTAATACAGCAAAAGGGCTGTCAAGGTGGCTGCATATGAAAAAGAAAGTATTTATTATCTTTTTGACAAATATGTGAATATGAATCTATCTTTGCTAATTCCTGTAAAGCTGCCTGTTTTGGTTGATATTAGTTTTTAAAATACTTTTGAAAAAATATCATAACACGGGCCTAAGGTATTTTTCCACAAAAGAATGTAAGATCATTGAATCTACTTCTTTTAAAACCATAGTAGTATGTAAAAACTAGTTTATGTTCAGTAAGCAGGGATCATTACAGCGTTAAATCTATTTATATTAAATACAGACATACCATTCTACTAACTAAAATGAAAACATTTTAATAAATAAAATGTCTTGCTCTTTTCGGTATTCATGAGTTTATAAAGGCTGTAAAAAAAATTTAATATGCTCAAAATCCTACCATTAATTTTGAATAGTTGCTCACAGTTTATCAAGTACTTTTACAAACAACATATCATTTGATATTTGCAAAAAAGCCCATGAAGTAAATGCAGAAGGTGCTAGAATTAGTTACAAATTTACCATTATGGCAAGTAAGAGGTTAAAATATTTTGTTCAAGCTCATGTAGATGAGTTACTGCTCAAGGAGGCAAACAATTTTTCTCACTTTAAATTCTGTATATTATCTATTAAACTATACTGCTTCTGGTAAAACCAAAATAATTAAAGAGAATTTAATCTATGCTATGGTTCATAAGGAATTTTAAATGAAGAAAAAGTACAAAGAGGAAAATAAGAGACAAATATTTACCCTCTGTAAGATTTAAGACTGCAAACAAATATGGAGGAGAGACCAGTTTGGAATAAATGTTTTCTGTGTCCTTGGACATATGGGAATTGCTCTTACTGATTTATGTAAAAGGAGAAAAATGAAAACTTCCAGCCTAACAAAGATAAGTAAAATAAACGAGAGGATTTTCGACATATTCTATTGAAGTATTCCACATAAAAATAAAGACATTTAGACAAATACATATATCTGAGATTTTTTCCCTGCCCCAGTGTCTAAGTTGGCTGTTGGCAGAATATGTTATCAAATCCTGGAACAACAAAGATCCCAATGGTTCTAGACCACCAAATACAATGGGACAAATGCTTTAGAACACAAATCTGTTTTTTTATACTGAGAATCACCCATTATTCCTAGTATTTCCTATATAAGAAAAGGTCTACTCTTTTTATTCCTCATCTTGAGCCCACCTTTGTTTAAAATTACATTCTAAGAGACAAAACAAAACTATTCTTGCTTGCTTCCCAATGTCAGCATTGCACTTAAGGACTGTTGAAGAATACCAAACACAAAAAACTAACTGGTTTCAGAGATTTTTTTCTTCTTTTTCTTTTTTTGTTAAAATTTTTTTATGGCTTCAGAGATTTTTTAAAGTCTAAAGGTCTTTTATGTGGGTGTGTGTGTGTACATTATATCATTAATGAGTTTTTTGTTTTACTCTTCAGTAAGTGAGAAGAATTTTTAAGCCAATGATTTTTTAAGATAAGTGAAATGCTTGCTATATATTAAATCAATAATTCCACTCAAATTAAACCATATTTCAAGCTTAACACTGCACAGGCCTGATTTAATATAATAGCAACAGAAGGGAGAGGAGAAAAAATGGAAGAGGAAGGTATAGTTAAGAGGACTGGCCATTATACGCTGAACTTTTTCATTACTAGTTCTGTTTAAGAATAAAAGCATTTTTTAGAAAATGTACTTCTAAATTTAAGGTAATATATTTAAAAATAATTCAATATTTAAAAGAATACTGAAGTGAAGTGATCGTTAAAGATAATATTTTTATCATTTAATCAAAGACTCGAGTCAGTCATGGTAGAAGCTGTTTTGAAAAATTTATTCTTTATTTCCTTATCTTTGATTCATCTGATTCCTGTTAACACTTTCAAAGACTTCAAAAGATTGTAAAATTTCAACCTTTTCATTGCATCTCATAGAAAAATTGGAATATTAACAAAATTTGTTTATATAACCAAGGTTATGCAATAATGAGCCAAGAGTAAAACCTGAGATGACTAATCCAATAATAGTAAGATACACACTTTAAAAATCCCCTCTTTTGTAAAAAATATTTTTTGTTCTAAAGAAAATATTTTTATGAGAATGATCTAACAAAAACATCATACTACTTAATTTCAAGAATGTATTATAAATATTGAAAGTACAAAAGGTAATAAATATATAAATAACTTCCATTTAAAGATTTATATGTTGGGCAGGCCTGGTGGCACACTCGGTAGAGTGCAGCGCTTGGGAGCGCAGCAGCACTCCCGCCGAGGGTTTGGATCCCATATAGAGACCGGTCCACTCACTGGTTGAGCGCAGTGCGGGCACGACACCGAGGGTTGCGATCCCGTTGCCGGTCGCGGTACGGGTGTGACACTGAGGGTTCGAACCCGTTACCGGTCACGAAAAAAGACAAAAAGAAAAAAAAAAAAAGATTTATATGTTATACCATATCTTTAAATATAGTTTTATATTTTAAAAGCAAGGAAAAATTACAAGCAACAATTTGATATTACTGTGATCTGGAAGAAAAATTTCCAGTTCTTTTTCAGGTACGCTCTTTCCGATTATTTACATGTTGACTAGAAAAATGTTAATGACTAGAAAAGTATTTAAAATAATGCCCTTGTAAGAATATTATAGGGCCGGCCCGGTGGCGCACTGGATAGTGCGCCGCTTGCGAAGCGCGGCGGCGCTCCCGCCCAAGGGTTCGGATCCCACATACAGACCGGTTCCCGCTCGCTGGCTGAGCGAGGCGCGGGAGCAACGCCGAGGCTTGCAATCCCGTTGCCGGTCCCCGGTCTGGTACGGGGGCAACACTGAGGGTTGCGATCCGTTGCCGGACACGGAAAAAAAAAAAAAAAAAAAAAGAATATTATATTTTTTCTCTTATCACACATAATTTAACTCTAATTGAAATATGTCCCTATAATGCTATCTTAGTGTTCATTTTGTAAGTCTATTTTAAGGCCTTTCAAATGGTTAAATAATAAATACACTTTGGATGGAATCTAAGGTATACAACCAATATAAATTATTTTGATACTATATATTATCATTCTCCAAACTTTCCTTTTTGGGGGAGTCAGAAGTCATTCTATACACTCAAAGTGCAGTATTAAAATATGAGACTGCTTATTTTATAAGCCAAAGAAATTTCATTATAAACATCCTTGTTCTCTTCCCTAATTAAATCTAAGAAACTATAAGGGCAGAATATAAGAAAACCCTCCCTCATTACATGTAAAATAGTTCATAGCATTGTAAATAAATATTATACTATACAAAAAGTCAAACTGAATCAGAATGGAAAACTGACCAAAAAGCCAACCTCCAAAGCTCTTGAGATTAATAATTAATGTGAGACTCCTTAATTATTTTAATTACAAATATAAAAGAAATTCCTACTATGTGATAAGAACTGTGTGCTAGACAGTATAACTACAATGGTGAACGAGCTAGACATCGAGCTTATAGTATAGGGGAACAGATGGGCAACAAACAAAATTAAAAGATAATTACAGATTATAGTATAATAAACAGGTGCTAAGAGAGAGAAAAACTGAAGAATCCAACTTTGGAGAGTCATCAAGAAAGGCATTCCTAAGTGTCTATCCTGAGACTTTAGTTCACAGAAGTCTGATCACACAGAGCTTTGTAAGCCATATAACATTAATAATAGTGAACTTTTACTGTGTATCAGGCATAGCTATAACTGCTTTTCATGAATTATCTTCTTTAATTTTGCCACCATGTATTATTTTCCAAAGAGATTAAGCAACTTGCCCAAGTTTCCACAGCTAGAAAGGAGCAAAACCAGTATCTGACTCCAGGAAATGTGATTGCTGGCTATGGTAATGAAAATGATTTCAATGTTTTAATGGGAGCTGACACGATCCCTTTTACTTTTAAGGTCTGCTGGAAGCTGGATCACTACTGGAAGGGGGAAAACTGTAATGGCAGTTAGGAGGTCAGTAGGTGAATATACGCAGGAGATAATAAGAAGTCTGAATTACTGTGACAGTTGTGGAAATAAAGGCAAATGGGTAGATTCACAACAGATTTTAAGGATAGGATCAATAAGACTTGTTAGTGGATTGATTACAGAGAATGAACGAAAAAAGAGGAATCAAGTGTGAATTTTAGACACATAGGTAGGTAGTGATACCATTTGCTAAGGAGGGTTGAACACAGTTATGGGAAAAAAATCAAGATATTTGAACTATCTAGCTAAAAATGTAAATG